TAATGTTTATAAGCGAACCAGGGATGTTAGCTGATAAATTAGTGTCCTGGAGGAAGGTGAATACTGAGTACACCTACCCCAGTGGAAAAGTATCGTCACAGTATGCATGTATGTATGTATGTATGTATGTATGTATGTATGTATGTATGTATGTATGTATGATGTTATTAACAATAATAACACAACATTATCAATAATTACACCAAGATATTTGGTTTTACTGACTTTTTCGACTTGACAATTATTAAACATTATTTGACATTTTTCTTCAGAACTTATTTTTCTACTATCACAGATTAACATAAATATAGTTTTCTTAATATTAATTATCAATGAGTTAGGTTTCATTAAATCCCTTAAACTATTCTATTCTCATTATCTATCCACATAATTCGTTGGAGATCACGGTCCTCAGGCTGAACCTTTATCTGGTGGAACATCTTTGTGATGTCTGTTACTAATACAACTCGTTATCTTCTTACCCAAAGTAACACATCTGATAGATATAGTTGGATTTTTAGACCAATGTTTTTTTTTAGACAATTTTTAGACCCGTTGAACACCACTCGTAGCTTAGTGGTAGTACTCTGCTCTCTTAGAACTCTATGGTGGGGAAGATAGTAGAGTGGTGATTCAGAAGTAGTAGAAGAAGCTCTTCTGATGTGATCTAGATTCTCGTACTTCTTCATAACTTCAAAGTAGAGTCGACCATACTCTGCGTTAGTGTCTAGTCGTTTTAAAACATTTGATAGGCACCTTTTACTAAAAGACTCACCAAAGAGTGTAGGCAATTCTCTTAATGGTAGTCTTACAACGTATCACCCAGTTTCGTTTCTAGTGTGTATTCTCTTAAAGTGGTCTTCACATTACGGCTCTTCGGGACTCAATCTCGATGCTGTTGACTCACTAATCTCTTCTTAAGCCCAGAATTTACTGATTAGAGAATTCCACTCTTCATCAAATGTTGGATGAAGGCAGTGAGATGCATCTCCTCCATGCATCCAGATGGGGCCAGCTGGCCATCTCAAGATTCTCAGTAAAGAGTTGAGAAGTAAACTCACCTACAATAAAAGTCTGCGTAAGAATTGAAAGTTCCAAATATCTCAACTGCAGTTTTAGCAAGAAGACTCTTTTTGTTATTCCATCAGAAGAATTTCAAAGACTCTTCAGAGGGATACTCGATGATTGCTTTGACACTTTTAATAATTTAAAGAACTTCTCTGAGACGAAAGACAGCTCAGTGTCAGGATCAAACAAAACTCGTGCTTCAACAGGTTTTCTCTGAGAACAGATCACTAAAACTCTACCTGTACCAAGTAGAATAGAAGGCTTCTCAATATTTCTTGTCGTTCCTCGGTGTTCAAATCCTGGATGAGAGCGTCGTGGAGTTGGTGCTGAAGGATGCAGACCTCTCTCGGCGATAGATAATGTTTTCTCAGAAGATTTACTTTATGGTCTAGACACAAGATAATTCTCTTTTAGTTAGTTCAATTATGAAGCAGAACTTCAACTCACTGGTAGAAAACTCTCTCTTGATGTTGTCTGCTATAAGCAGTTTGTTCAACGCTGTAGATAATGCATTCTCGGGTTTAGTAGAAGATGTACTCATGGATTTGCGTACCTTATTCCTCAATGTAGATAGTTTACTCATTATTGATGCTGCCTTTAGCAGATGGCTCTTGGCTGTAGAGAATGTAGACTCAGGTACTTTAGAAAGACTTTTAAAAGACTCACACTCAGTAGGCTGAAGAGAAAAAGTAAACTCAGTACTGTTAGCTCTAGAAAATGCAGGCTCAACAATCTCAATGATCAACGAATCACTCGCTGTTATGTAATTCAAGCTCTCGTTTAGAAAATGATTTCTGGTTTCTCAATACTCGCTCAGAGGTTAGCACGAGTCACTGCTCTGATACAGAGGTAGATGGGTTTGTCGTAGTAGTTGCCTGGGAGGCCCTTTTCTGCTCTCTTGCTTTTGTTCGATCCTCAAAGTGGATTTTAGTGTGATGCATAGCCCCACATGTCAGACATCTCTTCTCGCTAGTGCAATCTTAGACTTTGTGTAGTCCAAGACAATTAAAATAGAGTCTTCGCTCCTTCACCGTCTTTGCTTCGTCATCTACCGATAGCGCTCGGAATCTCGGAGACCACTAAATATAGTGCTTCTGTCTGCACATGGCACACTCTTTGGGTGCGTCAGTATTCTCAACTGACGTATCCGATGATAAAGTTATGGTGCAGCTCACAGCCGGTTTTTTTCTCGAGGATGAGGAAAATAAAAGCTTCTCTGCTAGTGTGTCCTTAAATACTTTTGCTAAAGCTGCACAAGTAGACATTTCACCTGAAGATGGTTTACTCGAAGATGCCTTTCTCGTAGATGATGTCTCCTCCTGTGATCGCTCGAAACTCTCCCACATGATAGCTGTAATCTCCAGAAACTCAAGTAATTTATCGCAAGAGAGGAACTTGTTATGTACCAGCGTACACAACATTTTCTTTGAAAAAAAATATTTTAAATGTTAAACACCAATTTTCAGCTCGCTCGGCTATCCGAAACAATTGAATATGATTCAAATTTTTATGTATATAAGTCAATTTGGCGATTGAATCAGTAAATTTTACTAGAGTAGGAAGGAAGCTTTGTACTATTCGTTGAAAGTATATTTATATATAAAATATGTATTCAATCAGTAAAGCTGACTATTCAAGCTGGTTGAATACTATTAGGAAAATTACTTTTAATCATTGTAAATACTGGTTCCTTTAGTTATAAGAATTACTTCTTTGATCAGTAAATTTATTTTATAACTTACTGATAGAGTAACAGTCATTTTTATTGACATTGGAAGTTTCATAAGATGACAAATAAAGTAAAAAATATTTGATTTTCCGCGGTCAAATTTACTGATTGATTTTTCTTCGTATACTTATCAGTCAACTCTGCATATGAAATCTCAGTAAATTCAAGACTGTGTACAGACAATTCATAAACTTAGTCATCAATGAACTCCTATTGGACAATTCATGAGAACTACTTCATTATTATCTTAATTGTTATTCTTGATTCAGTGGTTAACACGTTCATTGACGATCAAGTGATATTGCGTATTTCGTCTTCACATATTAAATCTACTTTGCATAGTAAATCTACTTCTATAACATCAAAATAACTCTATAATATTATATCTCAATGTTTACAATAAGTACAATGAGTTTTCATGCTTGAAAACGCTAATAGTGATCTTCTCGAACACAACTCTCTGCATTATTACCAATTTGTTATATATATTATTTAACAATAACATTAATTAAACGTATAAACATACCTATTACTTTTATCATCAAAGTATCCTAGTAGCCAAATCAACATATAGTCCAGTCATATTAAATTTTAAATCGGGAAATCTAGAAATGGATAAAATTTTAATAGAATATTTGTAGGGGATGTAGAATTAGTTTCCCCTAAAAAAAGTGAGCTCCGACACCGGGCAAGGGTTGAAATCACCCTTCAAGGTCAGTGTTTTCCTTTTCAATACATTCTCAAGTTTTAAATGTATTGAGTTTTATTTCAATTGACTTGAAATTAAAATATTCCAAGCCAAATAATAATAAATAAATAAATTAATTAATTAATTAATATAATAAAATTAATAGAATATTATATATTTATTGTTATTATAATTACAAACGGCTATTTGAATGGTGAATAAAAAAACTATTTGAGAGTAAAATTTATTTAATTTAAAAATTAAGTATAAAATCATTGTTAACAATAAATTAAACTATATTTGAAATAAATCATCTTCTTACTTTACATTAAGTTTTTTTTTTAAAAATATTTATTTTATTTTTATTATAATTACGTAGTGCTATTTAAATTGTAAATAACACAAAAAAAAAAAATATTAACATAGAAAATTGTTTCAATGAATAATTTAAAAATAAAATAATTTTTAATATTTAATTGAATTTTATTTTTTAAAAAAAATTTTTTTTACATTGTTTTAAATTAATGTGAATTTAATTTAATTTAAAATTAAATTGCTTATTAAATATATATATATATATATATATATATATATATATATATATATATATATATATATATTTCACATTTATTTAAAGCATTTTTTCATATTTATTATAGTTCTCGAAAAAAATGAGAACAAACGTGAAAAAATGCATAAAAAAGCGTTTAAAGGGTGATTTCAACCCTTGCCCGGTGTCGGAGCTCACTTTTTTTTAGGGGAAACTAATTCTACATCCCCTACAAATATTCTATTAAAATTTTATCCATTTCTAGATTTGCCGATTTAAAATTTAATATGACTGGACTAATAAGACTGACGGCAGACTTACCTATGTCGGTCTTATGGTGGGTCCGCACGATACAGACTATTGTTTGTACAGATATCTGTACAGACTTAAAGTCTGAGTAAAAATTTTCATGACAAATATGATAACGAAATGTATGTGCAGACTTAGATTATTTCAAATCTGCCATTTTTTCAAAAATCGTCCTCACCACGCAGACATACACGCATACTTCCAACTTCCGTGCTCAGGCTTCTTTAACTCAGACTTTTCCATCATACCGACTTTTGTTTGTACTGATTTGTTACGCAGACAAAATTCTATAGAAGTCTGTGTGAAGTTGGTATCGTGTGGACCTACCATTAGTTTGTCATTTGCATATGTATCTGTCGTTTTTCTGTCGTAAAATTGTGGTCAGGAAATTTAACGTCAGACACTGAATAGCAGTCTGATGCAGAACGGAAACAGAGATACGAAGTAAGTCTGACGAAAATTCTGACGTCAGGGAGAGCTACTAGGGTAAAGAATACTTATTGGTATTAAGAATAAAAAATAATACATAAATAAAAGTAAAGTTTTTTCTCCAGTATATTTGAATTCTCAATGTTATTATCTCATACATAGTTGTATACAGAAAATTTTTCAAAATTTGTATAACTATCAATAGACTATAAAAGACTATTTATATATATATATATTTTTAGTAATTAAACACTCTTTTAATATGCTTACATGTTAAGCTTTATAATGAAAAAAATATTTCTTATTATTTCATACAGATAGTTTGAGCTATTAAATAAATATTATTTTACAATCAAATTAAACTGATGGTTATTACAGAACTTTTATAATGCAATTGAATAAGATAAATTTAATTTCTATCTTCATAACTATACATTATTTATTTCACCAAAATCAGTTTTTGGTACACAGTTGTCACTACTAATCCATTTTTTATAGAATTCCATTAGTGGCATTACCATTAACAAGAGACCGCTTAAACCTATGAAAAATCCAGCTAAATAGAAAGATAAGTCGTAGGTTCCAGTAATATCATAAAGCCACCCTGAAAACAATATTATTCATCTGATGAAGTACATAAATAAAATTAATTCACTTAGTTCTATTTTTTATTATTTACCAAGTAAAAATGTTCCACAGAACTATGAGTATTTCGGCTAGGATAATTTTAACATATATATGTTATATATGTATATCTAACACATTCTGGTATAAATGTACAAATGTATATGTGAAAATACAAAATTAATAATATAATTATGCGATTTTCTTTTATATTTATACAACCTTGCTTAGGTACCGGGGAAAAAATAAAATAGATCTACATTAATCAACGTAGATCTGTTTTTTGGCACAATTAGATCTACTTAGTTCTGTGTACATCTGTTTTAATCATTTTAGATCTTCTGTGATCTCTGCAGATATATTAAATTTTTTTTATCATTGAGATCAATGGAGATCTCCATAGATATACAGTAATTTGTGTAGATACACAGTGATCTCACTAGATATACATAGATTTACTTAGATCAAATTTCCTTCAGTTTTTTAGATATGAGTAGATCAAATTGGATCTAAAAAATGGCGAAAATGTGGATCTGTGTAGATCTATTTTATTTTTTCCTGGGTAATACTGCAGCTCTATGCATGATAGTACTTTATCGGTAAAGATGTAGATTAACCCCCCATCCCCAATGATCTTAAGCTTGTAGTATGTTGTACAGAAGGCAATCCTGAATAATTTCATATGTGCATGTATATGTTAGGCACAGAAACATTAATTAAACATAGTTCTTTATCATAAAAACTTTGATAAACACATGCATTTGAAAATCGTACAAATTTTGAGATATATCATCTCTTTCTTTCATTTTTCAAAACACAATTAAAACATGAAGGTGTCATTTTCGCGCCCAACATGCATACACATTTTGGTTTTGTATAATATGCTCTACAACATACTACAAGCGGAAGGTCATCAGAGGTAAAAGGTTAACTATTACCGTCTTATCTTAAGTCAATACGATACTACTGCAGTATTACTCTAGTTCTGTTGTGTACAGTCTCATATGTATACTATCCACTCTTGGGTAGAAAACCTTTTCGTTTCTTTTAATTCAAAAAAGAATTCAATAACAAAAAAGAAATGTGATATAAATTACTCGGTAAAAGATAAAATTCAATTAACTGGAAAAATTGATACTTTGTAGCAGTGAAAATTCGCTAAAATGTATAAAGGATATTTATAATACCAACGAACATGGAAATAATCAATCTTTTGATGTTTACTTTTCAAGTGGGATAATTTTTGGCTTGCCCTTAGACTGTCCCGTTATCGTTATTTTTACCTAAAAATTTTTTTAATCTAAAGTTCTGCAGAATTATATTTTTACTCGGGTTTATTCATTACTTTTCTTTTATTAATTCTTTACGAAATTATTTTTTATATATTTATTAAATATAGTATTAAAGAATGAACCAAACCTGCTAGCGGTGGCCCCATCAAATTGGCTATTCCCTGAACAAGAAGAAGCAGACCGTATGCATTGGTAAAACGTTCAATTGTAATAACTTCAACAAGAATGATGCTCGTTAAACTGTAATTGGCAGCTATAAATATACCAAAGGCACCTGATACAGAGCATAAAGCATAATAGTTCTTGGTAACCATTGGTATTAAACTTGTGACTATGCCACAAAGAATCATGCATAGAGCATACACAATTAAAGCATTTGCCCATGGTTTATCACCTGCCCATCCAAGGAATATCTAGAATAAAAGTAATAATTTTGAAAGAAATTCGTGTACCTCCGGTTTAATGATTGAACACACTGAAGTAATGGCGTATTTGTCAAGAACAGCAGTAAAAGATAATTATGAACAAATATTGATAATGTTATTTGGATAGATAAATTATACAGTTGATTATAAATCAAAATATATCAAATTGATATGATAACAGCAATTAATAAAAAAAATTCTATTCATATTAATTTGAATTTCAATAACAAAGCTATAATTCGTTTCAATGATCAATACTTCATTTGTAATTTAATTATTTAGTAAATGTAGCTGAAATTTATTTTAATGTGAAGCAAATTTTTTCTAATTATATGATATCTTTCTCTTAATCATTCAGTTATTATCGAATATGGAATATTATACACTTAATTATTATCATAAAAAAAATTAAAGTATTATATAAATTGATGGATGATATAAATGTTCTAGAACAGGACTGGACAACTTTTCTTTTTTTTTTAAGATTATTATCAGATTTGAAATAAATATCATATTAAAAATGGATTGAAATAAGTTCGTTGTCAAAACTAAAATTTAATGATAACAAAAAAAAATATTTTCAGCAATAAATTAACATTTTAATTTATTGAATTTATTCAGATACACATGTAATAAAATTTCTGTAAATACTATAATGATTGGAATGAATTTACACAACTTTATAAAGTTATTTGCATTTTTTATGTTTTTCCTCCAATATTAAAAATTATTAAATTTCAATATTTAATTTGTTTAATTTTTCTCTATATATTTTCAAAAAATTTTTTCATCATGTCTATATAGCCAAGATGATAATTTTTAACTATTACTACATAAAAATATAAAAATTGATTAACACAAATAACTCTACACTAGTTAAGAGTGAACTTAAGTGAACTTATTGACAAGTTTTACTTGTCAATAAATTGACTTAATAAAAGAGTTAATAAACTTAGAAGCATCGAAAATATTCTAAAAAAAATTTTAGATTACTCAGATCGATCAGATTAGTATTATTGAGTTTAAGAAAAAGACAAAGTTCATTCAGTCCTATTTTAGAAATATAATTTACAACAACAAAAAAACTACAATGTCAATAGTAAATCTAAGAAGATGAGTATTAAATTTAAGATATTATACCTCTCCAAACATATTAGCAATACCAATTACAGAAATAAGAATGGATGCATCTGTCTCGCTGAAACCCATTTCAATGGCATTGTCCGTAAGATAAACATAAGGCACATCATACCAAGTATGAAGAAGAAAATTACTAATAGAAAAAAGAAGAAATTTTGAAACTGTAAAATGGGAAAAATCTAACATATCTACAATCAAATCCCAAAATTCCCAGAGTCCAGAATACCAGACAAATTTATTTTTTGCAATAGTCGTCATTGAATTTCTGTAAATATCTGGACAACTAGATGCTTTTAGTCTATATCTGTTTATATTTAGCATAGCTCCACGATAGGTTAAACTGTGTCGATGAATTTTAACATTTTTTAAGTATGCAGATGGAATTCTTTTTTGGGCTTCGGGATTAGTAGATTGGTTCAAATGACTTTCGGTTTCAAATTTATTGAGCCACCATAGATAAGCCACATTAAAAGCCATATCATTCGTATTTCCTTCACTGACTGCTTGTGTAGAGCTCAATGAATCCACAGCATTCGATTGATTGGTATTATCTTGTTTTTGAAATTTTGGTGGACCTTTCGAACTGGTATGAATGTTTTGATGAGTTGTAGAAATGTCACAGAGAGTTGCTGAATCACTAATACTTTTTGATGATGTTAATATTTGTGGATAATTACGCATAAAAACACTATAAATATCTTTACGAGTAGCTAGTAGATCAAGAACTTCTAGTGGTATTTGATCCCCATTTTTAATAAACGTTGGAAGAGTTAAAAGACTTGAAAATAATTTAGCATTATTATCTTTACCATGTAAACGTCTAATATAATCTATATCTATAGGATTAACCCATACAGAATTTCCCATTGAATGAGGTGTTGTATCAGTAAGGAAATTATTGGAAAATGAATCGATACTTGCACATTGGATCTTTATAGTTCGTTTTTTCTCTCTAATACGTTTGCGTTCCTTACTTTTGGCTTTTGCACGAACTGTTGTCCACTCAAGATCTCTCATGAGACATCCACAAACTGCTAAGTTGAAAAATAATCCCGCAAGAATCAACGTAGTTCCACGCCAACCATATTCAGCTAAAAGATACTGAGTCACAGGTGCAAATATAAATGTTCCTATTCCACTTCCACAAACCGATAATCCGGTTGCAAATGATCGTTTTTTATTGAAATAATAGGCCACAATCACAACAGCAGCAACAAAACACAATGATAATCCAAAACCTGCTATTACTCCAAATGTAAATATCAACACACCCATAGAACTTGTAAAAGAACTAAATACAAATCCAGCAGTTGCAAGAATACTTCCTGCTATTGATACTCTTCGGCATCCATAACGATCAGTTAAAAAACTTGCAACTGGTCCTGATAATAGTGGCATTGCCATAAATAATGATCCAATCCAAGCTGTTTTCGATTTACCTTCATTGAAATAATTTAAAAATTCAACAAAAATAACTCCAAATGAGAATGTTATCCCATCAGCTATTAAATTAACCATAAATGATGCTGCAACAATAACCCATCCCCATCCACCATCTGGTGGCTGTGCTTCAGCAAATTGTTCAAAGCTCGAATCATCAGAACTTATTCTGCTAGATGGTGAATAGCTAGATGTTGAAATAGATAATGGACTAGGCTGTTCTTTATTAATATTTCGTTTGGATTTATTGATTTTTTTGGTTTTTCGTGAACTAAATTTGACTTTTGAACATTTACTTCCATTGATAACGATCTCTTCATCATCAATATGGTTTATCCTTTCGTCATACAAACATTTCAATTTATCAGCACCTTCTTTTTTCTCATAACTGTTATCATTATAAGCAGTTGTACAATCCACTGCTGAAGTGAAATCCACCGTAATCATATTTTTTTCTCCTAAAGTGTCCAAATTGATACATGTTCTGCGTCCTTCATTTTTTACTCTTTCTATTACTTTGTTATTATCTTCCTCTAAATTATTTACATCTTTTATATAACTTTTTTCCATCTCAATACTGTGTCGAGTTAAATGATAGTTTTCTGTATCAGACCAATTGGATACATCACTGACATTATGATTTTCAGCTTGATATAATCTAATTGGCTTATGGTCATTAACATACGACCAAGTAGTTGGATTCATTGTCAAATATTACTTTGAAGATTGTATTATGTTGTTTATTTACACCCTAAAACATGTTTTATTTATTGCTTTCAATTTTAATTCTGAATTTATTTCAATTAACCATTCACTCGTGAAACTCATTAATTTATGAATGAATGAAGACAATTGTATTATCATTAATCTGATTAACACAATGTAGTAATAAAATATTAACTCAATTTCAATAGAAATGTTATATATTTTTATGGTGATATCTTGGCTCTTTGATCTTTTTGTATTGGTTGATTTGAATATCGTCTTCGTCGCCGTCGCCGTCGTCCTGACTTTCGTCGCAGACGTATCGGCATTGCAGTCTTGGTCAATTCGTTGTTGTAATGTAACTCGTGTTCGATTCGGAACATTTGTTACACGTGTTGAATGTATTTTGGTATTTGGATTCTTAATGGAGGACATGTGAAATTTTGAATAAGATGCTATCTTCTTCGTGAAGTAATTATCAATTCCAGAATCCATCCGGTGATCAGTAATTTGTTTACGCTTTCCCATATAAAACCTACGAAAAATTTCATTGTATATTAATTATTTGTAAAAGATATAACATAATACTCATTGTAATGATACTGATCACTGTAAATTTTAGTGTTTTATTTTAAAACATTAAAAGTGTTTTAATATGACGTCACCATTTGATTAACATTTGATTTTAAAACGTTTTTAAGTAGTTTAAAATCTTCTAAAATTTATAGTGGATAGAATACCAATCGGAAAAATTTATTTTAATAATTTGAGTTAAATTATTCATAACAAATTTACTGGCGTGATAAAATGTTAAACAATTAAAATAATTAGTTTTAAGTAAAACATAAATTTTGAAATGATTAGAAAAAAATCATTATAAATTAGTAAATTTATAGAGACGATATTATGATAGTAATTGACGTCAAAATAAATAAGTGGATCAGATTGGCTTCGTATTTATGTAATTACAATTCATTACATACTGATATTGGATCTTTATACTTTTTTAACTTTCTAATAATAAATATTATAATAAAAATTTTAGTCATAATAATGAATTTTTAAATTAACTTGTAATATAAAATTTTTTATTAATTAATTAACTGGTGACTATTTAATATCTCAATTATTGAATTAATTGTTTTAAAAGTACTTGGATTGAAATTTAGATGATATATTCCTTCAACATAAAGCAAATAAATTGAATTAAATGTCATTTTAAATTACCACTAATTTCTTTAGTAATTTATTAATATAGTTTTTTTTATCAGTTACGTTAATTGACACTATTGACCTATTTCGACATAACATCAAATATGTCAACTTTTAATCGATTATAATCCGATCGTCAGTAAAAAACATTATTAAATATATTAAAGAATTTTTAATTATATAAAATTGTATGCTCTATAAAAAAACTGATAATCATATCTAACAGAATGTTCGTTACGTACAGTAAGAGATTAAACGAAATTCTTCTTAAAATAAAAAACAAATTAATATCATCTAGAGGATTTATTACTAAAGATAGTAATTTATTAAATCTTTAAAACAGATATATTGTTAAGTCTTTAAGATAGATATTGTATCTTTTGTGTACTATGAAATAAAAACTTAGAACTAATTGCCTATTTACTTTGAAATAAGCGTATTTTCAATTTTTATCGCTCAGCCAATGAGATATAGCATATAATGTAAGCAATATCTTTTGATAAAAATATTAAATGTATCTCTGTTATTCATCATCGTACAGAAGACGTTGAACATCGTAGCATGGTAAATATCAACATCTATTGTATATGAATTGTAGTTCATTTAAGAACTTAACTTATACATTTATGTGTAGAAGAAGATGATGACCCTGTCTTTTTTTGTTCTGCTTTCTCTCTTTTTCTTAGCTATGTACTGAGTATTGTTTATTCCGACGTTACTTTATTTTAAAAAATATACCCCTTTATATGATAAATTATTTTAATACATAACATGCATTAATTGGTTAATATGAAATATAACAAAATACTTCAAAATAAAATCAATATACCTTTTATATAACATAGATGTTGATTATTTCCCATTTTCTATCAAATTTGAAAATTCTCTTTTATCATTTAAATATTTTCACTCAACTTTTAAACATTACCTAAAAATGTTATTCACATAAACTAATTTTTTTACTAAATCATTAATAGATTATTAATACCAAAAAAATGTTTTAAATAATACTTTTTTGTAATATCATGGTTGATTTTTCACATATTTATCAATTTTATTCATTCTTTATTTCAAAAAGTTTTATTTAATCGAATAAATGAATTAATTGAAAAATGACTACTAGTCCATTAACTGGTATGATGATAATAAAATACACCTCTTATCTACAGTTTAAAAACAAAATCAATATAATAAATAAATAATCTTGCTATCTCTGGTATAATATATTGATTAATTCATTGATGATTAATTGTTTATCATCTATCACCAAACATTTCAAATATTTAAGTTACTAACTTATTTTATTATCAATCACACTAATTTACCACATAATCTGATTAAGATCAACTTAATTATTAATTTATATTGAAGTTTTACAAATTAGGAATTGACACATTTTAAACAATTGTTTCATAGAATTTCTTTATAGAATAGAACTCAACATCCATACCGTAAGATTACTCGATTGAAACTGATGCGATAATGTTTCTTCCTTCGTAATACGTGTCGTACATTATAATCGAGTTCTTCTTCGTTTCTTCTACATTACATCAATTTCTTTCTACAGTTATTTTATTCTATTATCCACGATTAATGGATATGTAAGTATATATACTTGATATATATGTAAATACATATATTTATATATTTATATTTTTCATGAATTCGAATTTTTTTTAGTTTCAGAGCCATTCGAATACAGAAGTAGTTATTGAATTAATTGTATTCACATATAATATTTTTACATCTGTGTTTATAGTAAATAAACTCTTAAAAATTTTGAACAGGAAATTAAATAAAAATTATTAATTCGAAATTTTTTATGGTTATGTTGTGATATGAATTTTTATTGATATTTATAAATTTAATTATTGTATTTAACTAAAATATATTCTTAAGACAAATTTAAAAAATATCTTTGAATATTAGCAATAAAATAATGTTTTTTAACTGAATAAAAAACTGTAATGAATATAATAAAAAATTAAATTTATAAAAAGATTATTCATTATATTTAATATGAAGAAAAATCAGCATATATTCACTGATGACGTTTAATGAATATGATAGCAAAGACTGAACTTATTGATCCACACTAATATTAGTTCTGTACATTTATTCAGAAAAAATAATTTAAAAATATAATGAAATTTTATTTTAGTAGTATCAAAATTGATCATAATATTATGTTAGAGCCTATTTTCACTTTCTTAATTTCTACTATAAAAATCAATTATTATAGTTCTTTTATATGCTCTTATGAGACATGTGTAAAAATAATTCTAATACATTCGAATCGAGCAATGAATTGGAGTGAAAAAAAAATCTAAATATAATATTGTGAAAGCGTAAAAATAACTTACTTTTTCGTGATTATCTTTATCAGAGAATACTATAAAATAGCATAATGGCTTCAGTTGTTTGAATTTAAATACTTGACAATGTATAAAATATTATACAGAGGAATTTAGAGCTCAAATATGGTGACATCTATTATAAGCTAAACATTTGTCACACTAAATGAGAAAAGGTTAAAAATTTATCAACAATTATATCCAACATACAATAAATAATCAAATAGTATTAATCCTAATAAATGAAAAAAGAATTAAAACTGTAATGGAAAATATAAGTTTAAAGTAAATTTGACGAATAGAACAACAGCGTTGATAGAACGTCTAAATGAGCAAAACTGTATGATTAAAGGGAAGAGTCTACGCATGCGTTTGTATGCTGTACTTGACCGATACAAGATACATTTTTTACTAAGATGAATACTTTATAATTCAATAGATAACTATCAAATTAGGCAATTCATTCATTTATTTTGGTCTAGTTTTATTATTTCTATGACAATAATTTTTATAATAAGTTTATTCAATCTTAAATTTATTGTGAGATTGTAAAAATAATTGTGATTTTTATTCACAATGTAATGATTTAGTTTTTCTAATAGTTGTATAAAATTAGAGCTTGAGACTGAATGGAGCCAAGATTTTTTTTATTATGACTTCGTTTGAGACACTAGCTGAAAACAATTTCAATATATATAAAACCAAATTTTAATAATTAATTATCTATTCAATTAATATACTAAACGATAATTTAACTTTTTAACTAATTTTTAATATTAATTTTTCTTAATTTCAAAAAAAAAAAAAATAATTTTAATGATAATTAATGTTTTCATTCCATGTATTAGTAAATTTTTCAAAAAAGTATGAAGATTTTCAATCATTTTAATGGCATATTTATGATGACAATTTAATGTATGACTTTTTTAACAAATATTATAGTGCCATTATTAATTATCAACATTAATGCTCGCTCTAATTCGTTGTTAAAAAGAATGTATATTCTTATAATCTATTTATTTTGTCAACAATTTAACTGAAATTTGGCTCTAATAATCTTCAAATATATTGCTACCAACTTCCTTCTTCGGAAGAGTTGACAAGCCATGAATGAGTGACATCTTGAAGGTTTACATCAACAATCTGATATTTGTTATTCGTAGCTACATATCAATTGATATCAACTAATTGTAATGTTTTTTTGTAAAACAAAATACACTTTCAGCAAAAGTTAATTTTTTGCAATTTTTTGAAACGATCAAAAAAATACTTTATCAATATTGATAACATTTTGAATGACATTTTATTAACACTGACACGCTTTAGTTTTCATAAGAACAAAATCCAAATTATAAATTTAAAAATTATTTATGAAACTCACACATTCTCCATATACTCCAGAACTTACAATTTTATTTACCTTCAGTTTATTGAAATTTCTATCTTATTACGGTGCATCATTGATCGAAGTGATAATCTACTGACCTATTATCAAGTCAACTGAAAAGTCTGAACGAAATGTAAACAAATTTTAATTTTAATTTAAAAATAAAGCTCCAAAATACATGTGCAACTCCACATGTTGCAGTAAACATGAAACTTGCCTTAATATAACATGGCTACCGTTAATGTAAACACAGGAATACCAATACCTGTTACATTACATTCTTAGAAAAATTATTCTTTCGCTAATCTTCAATGTCAAGTTTTTTTCAATTCGACTGATAAATATTTTCATAAACAGCTGTAGTTAAAATAAAGTGTAATTACTTGTAATATTCAATATTTGATATTTGAAATAATGGAAAATACATTTAATGATTGTGTAAACATGCTTAAAGAAAATACTAGTCATATCTTTCAAACAGCAATACAAACCTTATATAAAATCTGTGATAACATAGTTAAATTTCCAAGTGATGAAAAATATAGAAAACTTCGTATCGCAAATCCTGTTATAAGTGAAAAATTATTACCAGCTATTGGAGCTACTGAGTTTTTATTTGAATTGGGCTTCGTAGAGGTTAATATCAATATCATTTTATAATCAATTATTGTACACGGGATATTAATTATATCTTTTTCAATTTACAGGATGATGAATTTTTCTTACTTCCATCAAATTTTTCAAGAATTAAACTCGAAAATGCGTTAAAATTACTAAAAGATTTAAAAAATTTAGAAACTTTACCTAAAAAAAATAATGCAATAAAATCACTTCATTTCACAAATAAAAACCCACAACGAAATTCGTTTTTTAAAACAATACAAAGCCATTTCGAAAGTGTTTTAAATTATGAAAACTCTGAACTTCAAAAAAAGGCAAATTCATGCATTCCGATTGATAAACTAAAGTTGAATGCAGTAAAACAGTTACGAGTAATTCAAAAAGAAATAATACTTAATTCTAATAATGGAAAAAATTCAACAGAAGAATCACAAGTATCAATTGAAGAACTTTTGTTAAGAGAAGTCATGCACTGGTTTAAGAATGAATTCTTTACATGGATGGATAGTCCAAAATGTAAATCTTGCACTCAAGTGTGTACATTTAATAGAAATGAATTCAGAAATGATCCAAGAATATCTAGAGTCGAAATTCATATGTAAGTAAATACTTATTTAAATTATTTTATTCCATGTCAATCAGATTAAAAATCAATTGTTGGAAAATATTTCAGGTGTAAACAATGTAATACAGAAGAAGAATTTCCACGATACACAGACTCGGAAATACTTTTGAAAACAAGAACAGGTCGTTGTGGTGAGTGGGCAAACACTTTTACGTTAATATGTCGTTCTCTTGGATATGAAGCACGGATAGTTTACGATCAAACTGATCATGTATGGACAGAAGTTTGGCTAATTAATTCACATCGATGGGTCCATGTCGATCCATGTGAAGATACTTATGATCGTCCTTTACTTTATGAAAAAGGTTGGAATAAAAAATTATCTTATATCATAGCCTTTTCTAAAGATGAAATTCAAGACGTTACTTGGCGTTACACACGAAATCAAGCAAACGTCATGAAGAGAAGAAAAATCTGTTCAGAAGAACATCTTTTAGATTTGATTATTAATCTCAATGAAGAACGATTGAAGTTTTTAACGCAACAAGGATGTAGTGAAGCTCGAAATCGTTTTATAATTAAAAGAAGATTAATGGAACTAGTCGAGTTTTTGCCAGCACCTCCAGGTATGGTCAAACCTGACCAACAAAATGACACAAATGAGTATGGTGGAAGAATTTCTGGAAGTACTGCTTGGAGAGCTGCTAGAAATGAAATTTCAGTAAGTATTAGACAAAGTTTATTTCCGTGAATCAAAAACAGTCTACTAATCAGTGAAATTTAAAATTATTGAACATTGTTAAATAATATTATAATACTAGTCAGTACACTGCTTTTCAATATTAACAAGCACTTATAACAAATGAATGACATAAATAGTTTGTATAAGGTTTAAAATTTCATAAATTTCCAAAAATATTCTCAAATATTCAATATAGGGATAAGTAGACTTATGTAAACCATAAAAACATTTTATGTTCATAAAATAAATTTATATTCATAAAATATAAATATACATCATATAATAAAGGTTAACTAAAATTTATTTGCAATTTTTAATTATTTGAAGAATAGCATAACTGCAAGCTTATCAGTTTAACATTAAAATATTATTCTTAAAACCTTATTTAGAATTAGCACAATAAATCATTCCATTTCCACATAAAAAATATAATTTTTTTTAAACTTAAATATTTATTAATTTTAAAATATAAGATGTATTATACAGTTCATTAATATATCTATTTTTTTACTTAGGAAATACGCCATGACCATGTATGGGAAGTTCCGAAAGACACAAAAACATTCCACTTGCAATATTTTGTAGTTGAAAACAAATACTACACTCTCAATGATAATAATGAAGTTTTAACTGTCAAACAAAGTTGGGAAGCAGGAGTAAACTCATGTGTCGGTGGTATTTTTCGAAAAGAAGAGAAAGATTGGAAAATGGTATACCTCGCAAGATCACCTGGTAGTCAAATAGGAAAAATAACTTGGAGTGTAGCAATAAAAAACCAAAAAGTTAATATCGAGACATTGGAATTCAGTGCTGATACAACAGTTTTTGAAGATGGTTGTATAAAGTGGACTATTCAGGGCATCAATAACAATAAAATAGTATCATTAAATGTTCCTAGTGACAAATATTTCAAAACTGATCAACTTAAAAATGTGGAAAGAATAAATGTAATTGCTGAAATGTCAGGAGGTTCCAAGGATATTTCATGGCAGCATGCTCAATTATTTCGAAAAAGTTTAGATGCTACAAAAGAATGTTCAATGAAAATATGTTTAACTTTAAATAATAAACATTGATTAAATTTCTTACAATTTATTCACAATCATAAAATTTTACATAATTGATATTAAGAATAAAAGTCAGTTACTAGTCTTAAAATGTTTAAATACATACATATCTATACAAAAAATGGTACATAATTTATTATATATAAATATAAAACAGGTGAATGATTCAACTCATTCAATCTATATACATTAATGATATTCTCAGTATGAATATAATTTAATATTGATTAATTAAATCGCGAATATCATTACAGAGTGTTGCAAAATCTGGCCTTTGGTGACTTTCTAAATGCCAACATGGATACATTAGTTTAACATAAACAGTTTGAGGGCAATTAGGTGGACAAGGTAGTCGACTTCCTCGTTCTAAAGCAGCTAACAATTCGGCACTACCTTCTTCTTTACCATCACCATTCCGTTCCCATCCAACACCAGGAAGTTTTGGATCTTCACCGAGTCCAAATGTTTCATACATTGTTACTCCAAACGACCAAACATCGGATCTTGATGAAAACTTTCCATCTCTTAAACTTTCTGGTGCATACCATTTTATCGGTAAATCACGGTTTGTTTGTAGAATATAGTAATCATTATTTTCAGTGACTTGTGCCAATCCAAAATCACTGATCTTAACTCTTGCATCATTTGCAACGAGGATATTTCTAGCTGCAAGATCTCGATGAACTATACTTTTACTGCCTAAATAATCCATGCCAGTTGCAATGTCAAGAGCAATACTTAAAAGTCGTTTATGGGTAAGACTTTCTCGATGTATCGCTAGGTAACTTTGTAAAGAACCATGTTGAATAAATTCCATTACTAAACAAATCTCTGGTTCCGAAATGACTCCGAGAATTTCGACGACATTTGGATGCTTTAAAGTCTGAAATAAGATTGAATAAATGTCATTCAATACTATAGATTACAATAATAACCCTTGATAAGCATACAATGGGGATAACTAATAAATTTCTAGAAAGAAGTTAGTACAAACTTATGTATTCTTCATCTATTTTGAATAAATATACTTCAAATCAATATAAATATTAATAGATACATAAAATAAGAGTTAAATTAACAAACTATATTTTTAGATCGCATTTCTTTGATAGGGAAAATAAGCAACAGTTGTCTAATGAAAAAAAGAATTTAAATAATATCGAAGAGAACGTTGAAGTTGTAAATTGAATTTTGACTATTGTAGCAAAACTTTTGAATAAAGTCCTTTAAAGTAAAAGATAACAAGAGAATATTGATATTTAGAAATAGATACTGTGGCTTTTTCAATTAATGAACATTGTATAGCACCGTACTAAATGATGAAACACTGTGCTTGAGCAAAGCTCTTCACAATATTTACTCGTATATCATTGTGCTTACTATTGGAATGCTTTCTAGTGAACACAGAGACACCCAATGCACATTGGTGTTCTAATTGAAAAACTCATACTCATTAGTTGACATAGTTAGACCAGACTCTGTAGCTAAAAGAATCTTATCTGAATTTCAGATGGTTATGCTTTGAACTTTTATTTTACACACAAAATAATAAAGTAAGATTTTAGTTATATTATCATTTAAATAAAAATTAACTAAGACAATTAGATGCAAACGTGTTTATTGTATTAATAAAGATCTAAAATATTTATAATTTGTAAAAAAATGCCCAGACCTTTTGAATCTAGAAACACTTCAAAAAGTACTATAACAGTGTATGCCTTTCAAGGGTTACTGGAGTTTAATAAATTAAATATAAATAAGTAATTTTTTACTGAGAAAAATATGATATTGAAGTAAATGCAATAAATAATAAATGGTTAGTTTTAATGAACAATCTATTTATAAGAATAAAACTTAGTTAAGTGGAATCAAAAAGAATGAGGCATTTTATTTCACTTACAAAAATATGTCGTATTCAGTTGAAACAAAATTTACTTCGATTATTAAGATTCAATTATACATATATTGATTCACTGTTATCTTTGATTTTACTTTTATTCGTTATTGAATACCATTCAATATGATATATTTCAGACATGAGGATTTATTAATTTGACTACCAAAAAGTTTTAGAACAACAAATTTCAATTATATAAAGGTTTTTCGTTTATCTATATTCCACTAAACGAAATTTAATTTTACATTAATATATGTATCACCATAAGAACTAACGAGATTTCCAGTAATTCTTCATATATTTATTTTTTGTTTTTTATGATTATTTATTTATTTCAAATGACTTACCTTCATAATGGCAATTTCTCTTTCAAAATCCCGCAAATCTGCTTCTAATGCTTTCGTTTTCAGTTTTTTAATGGCTACTTGTTGTGGTTCAGCATCTTTTGTATTGTTTTTCTCGAGAATTCCTCGATAAACCTCGCCATAAAAACCCTGTCCAATTTTTCCTTGAAAAATAACATTACAGTCAGCGTCCAATTCGTAAATACCCTGCATTTGTCTCAACGGATCACCGCTATGACTGTTTGTTTCATTAAAATTATTGACTTCATGAAGTGATTCGTCACGGCGATTGTTATGACTTGTATTCTCAGCCAACCATCCTAAATAAGCGGACAATTCTTCTTCCGCTTCATTGTCAGTAAATTGAATTAATTTTGCACCACCTTGAAATATTATTTGTTTTTATATTTTCAATTTTAAAATTAAATGGTGTAGAAATAAAAGATCACTTACCATCATCTAAATCATCCCAAGGTAGGCTTGTGCGATCAGTAAAAAGACTACTAGCCCTTGATTCACTATCTGATGAAGAATTATTATCTATCATTTCATGGCCATCATCATTATTAGCTTCTTTATCGTTAAATAATTTTGGGAAGGCCGTAGCATATGTATGAGTTCGTCGAGAATTATAAACTTGATAGAGTATTTGATTTATATCACGCATTATTGCTTGAGGCTGTTTCCTAGGTCCATTTGGTTCTCCCCAACATTCCAACATCAGCTGATAGACTTCCATAGGACAACCATTGGGTATTGGCAATCGTTTTCCACTAGTATAAAACTGAAAATAATTTATCATTAATTATTATATGTCAACTTTAATGTTATAATGTATCCTTTTCATGAAATTAACAATGATTATAATACTGACATCTAATACTGACAGACTATAGATTTACTTTTAAAAAAGATCTATACAGCTAAAATTAGTAGTTGATGTTGTCAATATGAGAAAATGGTTTTTATTATGATATACATACTTTTTTCATGATATTAACATCTTGATGAGTAGGAAGTATAGCACCACGAGAGAATATCTGCCACAATGTTGTACCTAGAGCCCATACATCAGCACTTGTATTTTTTTTAGCCATTTCTAAGTTATCATAATACTCAGGTGGTAACCAATGGATGCTATTTAGAATTATTAGATATTATTTTAAATTCAACAAAAATATAATTAATAGAAATACCTACGAGTTTCAAATTAATATAAATAATAGAATAATTAAGTTTACTCACTCAGCTTGTGTATAGCTAAAAAGACCTGGATCAGCAAGTTTGACAATAAAACTATTATCCGTGTGTGCATGAACCAATAATTTACGACATCGTATATTTCCATGAACCACGCCATTTTCTTCCTACAATAAAAAATTTTCATCGTTAAAAATTTGTATTTTTATGATTATTACCAATTAAAGTTTCAGTTTAGGTACCAGATGCCACACAGCGGTTGCTAAACAAGCTGATGCTTCTACCATGTCAACGGTTTTAATAGTTTGCGAATTATTTTGAAGATAAACATCCAAAGGACCGTATTTAACAAGTTCCATCAACATTCCAATTGCTGGCGCGACTGTTATTCCATATAATCTAGTATTTGCACAGAAAAAACATTTTACAAAACAGTCAAACATAAATGACATGTTTTTCATCTCGTGGTATATATACTATGTTTTTCATACTTATGCGAACAGTTCTACACTTCTTTTATAAAAAAGTAAATTTTTCGCACAAGTATGGTAAGAATAAATAAAATTAATTACCTAACAAGCGCGCCTGATCGTAATTGACCCCATTTACCAGCCAAGTCTAAGAATTCTCTTGTATATTTCCATTCTTCGTCTCTTAATACTTTCATCGCAGCTTCTAGTTTTTTACCTTTAGCCACTCTCCACATTGCTCGATAGACAATTGTTGGAGATTGGAGAAAATTTCCCTTAATAAAATCTACATTATGTTCTACAAAGGGCTGTGCTTTATATACTTGTAGTTGTTGCGGTGGAATACATCGTGGTCCACCTTCTAATAACTCTGTCACTATCTCGTCATCTGCTGTCACATCACTTCCCATACCATCCAAAGCACATATCAAAAGAGGTGACTTATCTGTCAATAATGAAATTAATCTTCATGTAATTCTTGTTTTTTTTCTTTTTGATATAAATAATGTAAACAAATCAATTAAGAAAGAGAAATTAAACTAAACTGAAAATAAAGCCAGAAAGCTACATGAACTTGAGAAAGAATAATGTGATTAGATTAAAGTGTGAAAGCATAGGAAGATATAAAAAGTAAAAGTGTCCGTAGGAAATGTTGAATTTCACGATAAGTAAAAAAGAAAATTGTACGAAGAATTCAAAAAATAGAGTAGAACTTTCATGAACTCTCATCATTAAAATTCGACTTTTTTTACTTTGAAACAGACGTTACTTTTATTCTTTTGCTTAAAAATAGAGTGAAATTTTAATAATCAATGATAAAAGAACAAAACGATAAAATTTGTATTATTTTGTTGTAATCAACTTACCCATATTTGTCAATTCTACAGTTTTAAATTTATAAAAGTTCTACAGTAAACAAGAGAATTCGAAAATCTAACCAGCTCGTGCACAAATAACTTAGACATACTGAATAAATTATAAGAAATTATAGATGGTTAGTCAATGAACGAATACAGAAAGTTAAATATATTGTATGTGATACTAAACTAAGTGATTATTAAGCTTTCAGACTGTGTTAAATACAAATAAACAATGATTTTATCTTACCATATTCTGACGGAGGTAAACATTCAGCTAAATATAACGATTTTGCAGGATCTTGATGAGAATGGATTAATTGTGGTATTGATTTGTATACATTCATCGAACCAAATAAAATGAAGTTTTCTGTGCCAATTTGTTCGATTTTATATGTACGTGGTTTATTATCTTTCCCACAGGAATCGAGATAAAAAACATTATATTTTGATTCACATTCTCGTAAAATATATGTCCCAGGATAGTTGGATCGTTTTCCATCAAGTTTTGAATAAGAAAACTCGCCTCTAAAATGAATATTCATAACATACAATAATATTGTAGCATTGAAAGCTTTAAATTAAATGAATAATTCAATTTTACCATTCATTTTTAAATAAAATTACACTAATTGAGAAATCAACAAAAAAAGATGTTAATTTTATAAGATTATTAGAATTAAAATACATTACCCAACTGGTCCATGACATCTTAACCGATGTAACTTTTCAATACTAGGCGTAACAACATCTCGGCATAAATTAAAATTCCATTTAACAGCTAATCTATAATATCCGTCCAGTGCAGATACAAATGACATCAATATAAAGTTTGTTGGAAATTTCAAGTATGATGGTATTCCATTTTTTCGTGATATTTCAATTGTATTGTCTTGCCTAAAAAATGTATAGATAATGTGTTCAATTAATATGTTGAATTTACTGAATTAATTACTATTTCTAAATCAAAATAAATTCACTAAAATGAACATAAATTTTTTTCAAATTGTAATCAGATGGAAATATAATTATATAAAAGTAAACTTAATTATGATTTTTATGTAAAGTTGATTCAATCCAAAAAATTATCAAATATCAATCGTTGGTGTTATTTCTTTTAATAAAATTTATTCTTCAAGTTTTTTTTACGAAAAAAATCATCTAATTATTTCTGCATATCAAATGGTATTTTACTCAATTAAAAAAAAAGTTTTTTTCACCAATTGCACAATGAAAATATTCATTGAAATTAATCAATTAATGATTCAACAAAAAAAGTCAATAAATTAATACTATTGAGACTAATAATTAATTGTAAAAAATTTGCTGTTCTATGTTTGTAAAAAAAATTTTGCAAAAATATTACCTTACGGAAATAAAGCATAAATCTTCTATAGCACAAAGTAGTGTCCACTGACTATTGGCATCGGTTTCACAATACTTGACTTCTAATGCAGTGATTCTTAGCAAAACACGAGAAGGTGGATTAGGGTTACCTTTATCCATAAACGCTTTATACTCTTCACATGGATAATTGGGTGCCATACTTTGAAATTGGTTGAGGTATTGTTCTTTAACATAAGAGGCATCATGACCTGATATTCTGGCTAAGGCATTATGTATAGGTTTTTTGATAAAGAATGAATGCCTTTTTATACATTCTTTCGGTATATATTTTTTATAATCTGACTCAACAATTTCTTGTGGCACATCTTTTTCTAACATAACCCTGTAAATTGTAAAGTAATTAATAAATTTGGATTCAAAAATAATATTTAATGTTATTGAATAGTAATAAAAATTAAATTTTAAAAAAAGTAATTGTCAGTTCATTAGTTAAAAATTGTTTTAAAATTTTTAACTAATGAACTAAAAAGATACTTTCTACCAATCATCAATATTAGTAGAGTACTATGTAATATTTTTACACTATCTTTACTATGATAAAAAAAATAGAAATTATTCTGTTACCTGTACATGTCACTAACACCTAAACCAATCAGTTCCCGTTTATGTTTTTCATAAATGATATCTGGTACTTTGTTATCTAAAACATCACAGCGTGCTTGATGAAAATAATAATTATAAGCAATATAATCAATAGATTTCAGTCTTTGAAGATTAGCAGGTTTAAATCGTAATCGGAATTCTAATTTAATTTTCTCTTGAACTTCAAATCTATAAGCTGGAGAAAACCAAAGCCGGTTAGATTTATTTCGTAGTGCAAATAAATGTCGAGCAACTGGACCTATACCAATTTGTTTGCATACCTATTTAAAAAAAACATTTTAATTTATTTATGGTAATATTTCTTATTAAGCATGAAACATTGTATATTTACCGCTATGCACAAATCTTCTGCAGTCCATCCAGGAAGGTAAGCAATGTTCAATACCTTTAATTCAGTTGCTAAATAAATGTTGAATGTTTTGTTTTCTTCCATTTTTGGAGTCATCACAAAAAACATTTCATATTTTGATGTTGTTTTCAATGTTAGAACAAATATAACTATTCCAATTGAATACTTAATTACTTTTTTATTTTTCAAATAAATAAATTCATCATATATACTTAATTTAAATAATTACGATAATGTTAATAAATAAAGTTCATACTTTTTTATAACTTTAAATACCATAAGATGTTTACGGTGCGTCGTGTGGATTAGCGAACTGTATAGTCGGACTGAGAAGAGAGTTCCTTAGATGCTCTTCATGTGTTCTTGTACGCTTGCGCAGTAGTAAAAAACATGGTAGAAGGGGTAGAAAATCAGTGGTGGGGAGCCCGAAAGCATTGAAGCAACTGAAGAACTCTTTTCTTAGTTCGACTATACTATACTATTGTCTATACTATATATAGAGCGGCTCTTAGAGATGTGAATTTACCGGTAATAGAAAATTCGGTAATTACCACGTAAAATTACCGGTATCTGACGGTATTCTGACGTCAAAAAATTCTGAATGTAAAATTTACCGTCAAGCCGTCGGTCAGCGTAATTACCGGTCATTCGCATCTATATAGATGAATATGATGAGCTTTTTACCGAGGAAATGGCTTGCTTTCGAACTTGCTTGCCAATTTGCTTAAGTTAATTTTGCTTTTTGCACTTGTTAATTTAAAACTAATTAATTATTATAAGATGAAAAAAAAATTTTGTAATTTGTAATAAAAAAAATATTTTACATTTTTGACTGTTAGGACAGAAATAATAAATATATTGAAAATTATTATAAACGTTTATTTAGTTAAGTTTTTGGTACATTTTTTTTTATAAAATAGATAATCCTTCGTTATTACATATTATAAAGAATTTGACTTTTTTAACTTTTATGTAAATTATTTATGAAAAAATAAAACCATATAATCTATAGTTTCTATCAACTAGTAATATCACATAATAATTGACATATTTCATTAGGAAATAACAAGTCTAATACTGATTCAATTCCATCAACATCACTAATTAGTCTTGAGTAAATTCTTCTTCTAAAAATTCAACTTCTTCATGCTCAGCACAAATTTCACTTATTTCATCCTCTCCTTTATTACTTTCCTCATCTTCTTCCCATTCTTCTTCTGTATTTTTTGGTGAAGGATTAAGTAATTTTAAATTTCTTGCAATGTATGTTATTTTTCCAGCTCTATCGATACTTAACTTATTTCTTTTAGATGAATGAATCCATCCTTGTGTACTAAAGGAACGCTCGGTTGCAGCTGATGTTGCAGGTAAAGTCAATATAGCCACAGCTATTTTGCTCAACGAAGATTTTTGGCAAATACTTTGCCACCATTGACATGCTGAAGTGATTATACTTGCTCGCTTAACGTAGTCGTAACTCCACATACTTGATTCTGACACATAATCTGTTAAATCTTTTAATACCTTATCACTATTTAGATTTAATTTATCACCAAGATTTATAATTGATGTTTATATATTGATTTGTTCTCCCCCATTGCACCAAGTTCTCAATGAAAATCCTTATCTACAAATTGAATTTTCTTATATTAAATATTATCAGTATTTTTAATAAACAAATAAAAATGAAAATATATACCTGATAGAACAAATAAACAGTTGTATGCCGTTGGGAATTCTAAACTGTGATTGGACATGTATTAACCAATCAGAGATCAGCATTTTTCTGACCGGTATGGTAAAACAGGCTTGGTCATTGACGTGTTTTTTACCGGTAATTTACGGTAAATTTACCCGTCAATTACCGATTCACATCTCTAATAGAGCGTTTTCCATTTAGAAAAAAAAGTCGACACAGTGCAACACAGTGTCGACCATACTATAGCAAAAACCTAATGCCAACTAAAGCTTGGTAACTTCAATACTTTCATTGGCAACACTACTTTTTCACAACGACCAGCAAATTAATGATTGACTTTTAAAAAAAATAATGGATAATACAGGTAAATTGAGAAAATTATCAGATATAAAAGTTTTTCGTTATGAAATTAAGGTAGTATCTTTTATTATTTACACAATGCAATGCTATGTAAATGTCAATGTATGTATGATCTCAAAATTCTCATTTTTTTTTTAAATTTTAAAAAAAAATTTTTTTTCTCCTAGTAACTTTTATAAGCTGCCCTCTATCGAAACACAATAAAAGTAAATGTTCCATTTATAAAATTAGTATGCAGGCTTGAGTATGAAGGGTGGGGGTAGAGCTTGCCGGCGAAGTGCCGGAACTCTCCGCAAATTGTTTAAATTGCTGCTAAATATTTTTAAATTATTTTTGAAAAAAAATTACATTTAAGTAACTGTACTAAAAAAGAGATTATGGCCCTGTTCGAATATCTTCTCCCTCAGCGTTCATTAATGCGTGTTGCACTGTGTCGACTTTTTTTTAAATAGAAAACGCTCATTATATTCTCCATGGTGTACACTTTGGCTTTATTGATGCCTTTCCTATATCATAAGAAAGCAATTACCAACCGCCGTAATTATTTTTTTTTATATTGAGTTTCCAATTTTGCATTCTGTAAAGTTAGGCTGAATTACAAAAACTCGAGAATCCGTGATTATCTTTTAAATATGATGTTTTATTAGGATATAAAATTCTTTATTATTTCTTTATCATTAAAAAGGTAGACAAGTGGTTAACAACTTGTTTATTATTATTTGTAAATTTACAATTAACAATTATTGTAAGAAAATTCTCAAAAAAAATTAATCAGTTTATTATTTTTCATGTCTTAAAATCACGATGGCCGTTTAAAAATGACTAGAAAATTACAATTTATTAATTTTTCAAAGTAATTTTCCCGGATTATTGTTATTTGCGGTAGACCTTCATGCCTTTTTGATAATAAAAAAAATTATTCTATATCGTGAAAACATTCTATTTTTAATATAGATTATATATAATATATAATTTTTTTTACTAATTTTTCGTTCGAAACAGTTAGTTGCCGATATCTTTGTTACATTCTATTCGTATTATAAATAAAATCATTTTATCTAATAAAACGCAGTAATTGGAATATATTTTGTCATATTTTCCAGATACTTTTTGCTACCACTAATTAAGTTAAATGAAACGTTAAGAACCATGCACAAAGATTAAATGTCGAAATGAATATTTAAAAAAATTGATTTATTTCTTAAAATAAATAAAATTTATAGCACTGTGTCTCCTAAATTCGTGTTTAGGGCTCGCTTAACTGTTGACCTAAATAAACAATTATGAAACGAGTAGAGAGGAATTTTTTCAGGCCACGGGCTCGTATTTAGGATCAATCCATACATTTCTTCTCTAATAATTTGACTTTCACCCCCCAAAAAAACGAAAAAATATATTTAAAAACATTCAAAATCCCGAAAAAGTAACAAATAATAAAATGATTAATGATTAAAATTACATGCTTTCGTCGGTTATGATTCAGTCTGAAGTATGCTAAAACCTCAATTAATGATTCTCAAATGTTTTTTATGAACGTCTTTGCTCAATCGTAAACAATATTCTGGCGTAAAATATTTCCTGAAAGTTATTTAGTTTAAAAACCATCTTATTCCGTAATGAATATCGACAGTGATTACAGTGATTTAGACGACGATTATAATGATTTTGTTCCTGATGAAATAAAAGAAAAAGCGAAGAATATTGTTTTACAATCAATGCCAACAAAATCTTGACAAATATACGTGGCAACTTATAATGCTTTTAAATCATGGCGAAAAGAAAATGTCAAATCAAATTCTTTTGCTGAAGATGTATTCGTAGTCTACTTTGATAATCTTTTTCAAAGATATGCCCCTCCCAGTTTATGGGCTTTTTAATCGATGTTAAAAACTACTATCAGAGCATTTGATAATGTTGATATTGGTAATTACAAAAAAGTAACGCTTTTTTTTAATCAACCGATTCAGATGTTTCGACGAAAAAATATTTCACCAAAATTTCAAATGTTGTACCAGTATTAAATGAAAAATTAATTAAAACAGCAGTCTCAATGTCCAAACCTGAATATAATGATTCATCGAACTTTGACAAACCTTGTTCATCAGCATCAAATGAAGTTAAAGTTAGTACATCAGGCTATCAAAAAAAATTTTAATCTACTTATCATTAAGAGATATTTTGTTTCCCCATGTAGTTAACTGTTCCGAATTGCAGAAAGCAGCTGAGAGCTGTTTTCGTGTTTTGAATGTATTCAAAAGATACATTCGTAGTTCAACCATTGAAAAAGACGGAATCACAATTCAAAGCTTGGGGTTAACTGAGTTTGATCAAAATCTTGAAAATAAAGCTAATAGTCAAAACGATCCTTGTACGTGGGCTGATTTAATAATTAGAAATATGAATTTGTTTAGAGAACTATTTTGTATTGAAGCATTTGAAGAAGATCGCAATGCAAGTGAATTTCATAAATAGACTAGTATCATATCTAAAATGTTAGATATCATCATAGGATTACTCACCAACAAAGCTAATATTCATGGTAGTAATCATGATAACTATGAGCTACTTAACGTTACTATTCAAAAAAGCAATATACTAGAAGCATGCTTTTTCATAAGAAGAGGAGCTCTTCTTGGAGGAGATTTTATTGTATTGCTACTTGGAGCGATTGAACAGAACAATAATACAATAGCTAAGACATTAATAGATCATGGGATGCAATATAATCCATCTAATCAATTAATTTAATCATTCCTCTCAACGTCGCAATATTTAATAAACAATCGAACATAATTAATTATATCATACCTCAGGTTTTATGTTTGAAATCTTCAGACCATTTTACTGATATCCAAGTTTTATTATCTATAGAAAATGAAGGAAAAATACATCTTCAGACTCCAGGTAATTCGTATACTTATGTTGCGATCAAAAATAGATATCGTAAAATAGCTCAGTTTCTCCTGGATTATAATCCTAACGTCCAATACATAACTCCAGATGGTGATACTGTACTTCATAAGGCCATAGAAAATGATTTCAATGCTAAGTTTATAGAGACTTTAATAAAACGTAATTCATCAGTGACTGCTGTTAACCATACTAAGGATACACCACTTCATGTTGCCTGCAAAACTAAATCAACAAATCAATTGGAGATAATTAGAACACTTCTACGTTACAATGCGAATATTAATTGTACTGATAATGACTTAACTACGCCTTTATACTTGTGTCAAACTCACAATTTAGAAGTGGTTAAAGTTTTGCTTAAAAAAGGAGTTAATCCTAATATTAGAAACAACAGAAATCAAACACCTCTTCACGCAGTTTGCGGATTCAAAAATACATCAACCCAGCATAAAAGTAATATTTCAAACATAATACAATTATTGTTGCAACATAATGTAGATATTAATGCTGTTGGTATTCAAAAGGTTGGACTCCACTTTTTGAAGCTTGCAATACATCTCATGAGGAAGCAGTTCAAATTCTTCTAGGTAATCATGCGAATATCCATCATATGGATTTAGAAAAATTAAATCCTCTTTATATTGCCGTACAAAATTGTTCATTTAACCATACTGAGGTTGTGGAATTACTTTTAAAATATAAAGTTAACGTTAGTTGTGTTAACAAGTTTGGACAATCTATTATCCATCTTATTGCTGAGAACAATGCTTGGACACTTATTGAACGTTTTGGTGTCACAAAACTCAATTTTAATGCTGTAGACAATCAAGGAAATACTCCTCTTCATCTTGCTATTAACAAACAATGTCCTTTAACGATTGTAAATCTACTAAAATATGGCGCTGATATAAATCTTGTAGATGCAAAAGAATGTACTCCTCTTGAAAAGGCTGTAGAATATGTGTCGTATAATCGGGAAAAACTCAACGATAATGATTTTATTCAACAGGGGTATCATTCCAATTATAATGCGAGTTATAACTTGAACGTTGCTTATCTCAAAATTTTATACCAAAACAAACATGTACTTTTAAGTAAACAAATAGTAGCACTTCTAATCAGACACATAGTTACATTGAAGGTTGCTGGACTAAAGATAAGCTGTAAAAATTGGAATTTATTCAATACCGTTAATAAAGAATTTGAATCTTTAAATATTGTACAACACGAAGAAAAGTGTGTAGAAGAAATGGAAAAAATGAAAACTGAGCAATGTGGTATCAATGGCATAATTTTGTACGATTTGTTAACGAAAAATATACAGTTTTTGACTAGACATGTCAAAAATGAACAAATCCAAAAAACTTTGGATTCAAAGATTTACGATGAAAAATTTTCGCTATACATAGACATTGTGAGATCTCGATTCCGAGATGCTCAATTGAGATTTAGACTCATATATTTGGCAAGAAGATATTTTAATTTAAAAGTTTCGCGACGATTACCTGATAATTGCATCAATACAACGTTCAGTTTTTTAGAATGTGAAGATATGAATACGTTTATTCAAGCTTCAAAACGATTGAAAAAATAGTTAGTTCTTCTGAAAAATATTAAAAAATTTTTAAAATTCTAATCGTAAATGTAGAAAAAAACTATTTTTTTAATCATAAAAGTTTTATCATTAAGTTTTTAAAACTTTTAGAAAATAAATATTGTATGATAAGTTTATAAAAATATAACTAGCGTAAATGGAATAATACTATGTAAATTAATCATTTAAAAATAGTTGCGATATAAAAAAAAAGTTTCAGTAAATTAAAAAAAAAACTCCAATAGAAAATAAATTTATTAGAGCAAGCCTGAAAAAGTCATTTTTACATATTTGTTTAGGTAAAATTAGATTCAGCCACGTGGTTTAAACATGGCTACCAAGCAATCTTTTCAAAAGCCTCTTGAGATGGAAATTTTTACAAAATTTTAAATAATATTTGTTGATATATGATAAATTCGTATTTAAAAAGTTTGAGTGTCATCCGATTTGTAGTTCAATTGTAGATCAAATAATACTTTAATTCTTTTAATATAAATTTATCATATATTAAAAAATATTATTTGAAATTTCGTCAAAATTGCCATCTTTAATAGCTCATTACAGACTTTTTTAAAAAAAACAATTATAGATAATTCAATTACAATATTGGATTCACTTCAAAATATTGATATTTATTTTATAAAAAATGTATTTCATATTTATATCGAGAATATAAATAATGTGAAATCGAGTGTTATCGAGAGTCTAGATAAAATGTTTAAAAAAGTCAGTCGAGTGGAAACAAATAACAATAATTTATATAAAGAATTTGTTTTTCTCATTTCAAGTTGAATAGTTAAATTATCATTCTATAATTTACATTTAGATGTAATAAAGCGTCTAATATACATTTAATATACAATAATTTATTTTAAGTTTTCGATTAAAAAGTTAAAATAGTTTGTTTACAGTAAAATTAAAACACCAATGATACTTTCTGTTCTTTTCCGTATGTAAAGTGAACTTTTCTGTTAATGCTGTTGTATAATGTTAGATATTTAACTTACCTTTAAGATGTAAATGGATTGCTGGACAATAAATAGTAAAAAATTTAATTAACATTTTCGTTGTTTTTTTTTATTATTTCTATAGCTTTTACAAGAACAAAATCATAAAATTATACTCATTACTCGATAATAGAAGATACATGTTCATAGTTAAATAAGTTAAAAAAAAATATCAAATAACAATTCGTATCATGTAGAAACTTTACAAACTTTTAGACTCTATTCAAAATTTTTTCGAGACCCAAAACAGGTCTGAAGCAATAAGTTTGAAACATATTCGCAAAGCTGCTAAACTACAGAATTACTGTTTTATTATTACAAACTAAGAACTTGAATGTTTTTATTGCTATGATTTTATTCAATTCCTTTTATTTTCATTGTTTAGATTAATTTGTTTCATGTAAATGTCAATTCATAATTTTTACGTATTTATTCATATTAAAAAACTAAAGATATTCTTATCAGACCTTCAAATTTTTGCTTTTCCACGCATCAAATATTAAATAGTCTACAAACACATGTAAATGCACATTTTGTTTACAGTATTTTAAAATTAATAAACTATTTTCTTGTTGTTCATATCAGATTTTAATAAAAATATACATTCGTCTTCGTATAATCATCATGATTACAAAAATTACTCATCTTTAGTAAATTGTTTAGCAAAAATTACTATATATCTACAATTGTCATTAACAAAATTCATTGAGATGGTACTTTATTTTTTTCAAGTTTTTAATTGATCTATCATTAAGAGATAAAAATAAATTCATGTGCGTTTTAACAAAATGTCATTTCGAAGTATAAGTTACAATTAAGAAGAAAAAAATAATCAACTAAAAAATACTATTGAAGAATCAACATCGTTAATAGATCATTCCAATAAATTAAAAAAAATTATTTTCCACAATAGTCTTTTTTGTTTCATAATCATTGTAAAATTATCATTGAAGAGGTCCGAAATAAACTTTCAAAAGTATTACTGTAAATTGCAACAAATTAATTAAATTTTAAAAAATGTGCATTTATTTATTTCTTCTCAGGAAGAAATAATTAGTTGTTCTAATACTCCTTAAAAGCATATATTAGAACTGGAATTCATTACAACTGATTTATTTTCCCATCAGTTATTAATATAGTTGCAATGCAAGTACAGTCATAGAAGTACCAGACTTCTGCTACGTTTGAAACAAAAATAGTGACTACTTTAACTGCAGGAATGATTTTTGCAAACCTGCTGGCTGTTGAGAGGCCGGCTCTCGTATTCAAAACCTATGATTATTAATATATTTTGCATTCAAGAATAAGCAACAAATAAACATATTGCTTATGAACGAGGTTAAAAATGGATGACAAGAGCCGGAGGTAGCCATTAAATATTAAAGACTGTATTACTAAAAACGACAGCAGTTTGAATTATGTTACTCGTAACATTGCGTCGTTTTGGACAAGACACGGCTTTCATGCCGATATTTCAATTGCCTTCAGCGATTTCTCGAACACTCACATACGTTCCTGTCACAAATCCAAGACAGCCAAAACAGATGATGAGTATGTTTTTCCATAATATCCAGTTGAAACGACCAAGACCGTCTTCAGATTCCCAGACAGTTACTAATTCAATTATAGATGGGAACATTAAGCCAAGAGTAGAAAGACAAACTGCACCAACAAGAGATATAAATGGCCCAAGGTTAGGCACTGCAATTGCCATACTAACAGTGAAAATAACCAGTCCAATTCTCACTAGATATTCAGCATAAAGTTTTCTTGCACCAAAATAATGTTTTAGATTTTTCCAAATAATTTCCATGGGTACGTAAAATTGTAGACCATAGGTGAAAAAGATAGCTAGTGCAATCATTATTTTTACAGATTGTGCCAAAATTTCGTCGAGTGGTAAGTTTAACGTAATTGATCCGTCAGTTGTGTTACCATATCGGAGGTAACCGAAAAATCCAACTGTACTGTATAAGGAAACGACTAAAAACATTCCAATATTTAGAACACCTGGGCATCCAATAAAGTGAGTCGGAGTTTTCATGTTGTTTTCTAAAGGCATTACCTGAAATAAATTACATTTTTTAGTTTTATTGACTCGAGTTGAATTTTATTATATTCAGCGATATTCTGGCTTTTAACAAGACCAATATGACAGCATTGTATTGTTTTATGGCAATATTTTATACTATTGAAAAATAATATCTTCAGATTTTTTAGAAAATTTATTATTCATTTTTAGAGTTCCGTAGTTTCAATTAAAAGAACCCACAATCTTTGTACAATAACTTTACTGTTTGTTTGTTAGTCAATCTGGCTGTATTTTATAATTATCACTGATCATTTATATCTGTAAATATTTATAATTAGGTAAGAATCGAGAAATTTCATAACTTCAATTTAGACAAGAATCTAAAACTTGTGAATTTCAAATTTTAAGTAGAATTTTATAAAACTGTATGGAAACTTCAGCATGAGAAGTCTACTTGAATTTGTTTGTTTTTTTTTTATTGTAGAATTTTTCCTCTATTTAATATTTACTTTGTCCCAGTATTTAGAAAAAAATATGAAAATCTGTAAACGTTTAATTTTTTTCATTCTTTAAAAATGAAGCATTTTGAATTCAAAATTGTTGATATTATTTAAAATGAAACTAATGTTAGAATATGCCTGAATATGAAAATTATAATTAAATAAAATATAAAATATACTTACAACGCCGATTCCTTCAAGGGCAAAGATGGCAGTTCCGAAAAACATGGGAAGTTGTTCAAAATTAGCCATGTATGGTAGGCCAGTTTGAAATTGTGAAGTATCCCGAAAGATGTAATAAAATGTAATACTCATACCAATGGCAATCAAAAAATTGGCAAACATAGAAAATGGTGCAAGGTATTTGAGATTTCTCACTAATGAAAAAATCAATAAAAATGGTAATAAGGCAGCCATGTAAATTCTTAAATCCCAACCTAAATGAGCGTGTTCTTCAACTATTTGGCTTATACTTTTTGCGACGAATACAACATATACGCAGCAGCAACCAAGCAAGTCAATCACCAAAAAAGAGTTAATGGTTGCTCTAAAACATTCAATTAACATAATTATGTATCTTAATTTGATATTTGCATAAAAATTTTATATATAAAAATGGAAAAATTTGAAATAAACTTACTTTGCAAGTCTTGCGTATTTTTGGACTGGTTCAGGACCTACAAGGAATGCAGCTTCAGCAACCTCTGCAAATCCTAAACTTGGGGTTTGAGTCCGTCGACAAAGTTTGTGGGCACATTTGACAAGAATATGAACGCAGTATGTACAGACCGCTCCAATAAAAAACGTAGCAAAAAGTCCAAAAAATAGACCAGCATTTTTAAAGGCCATGGGCATAGCAAGAATACCAGATCCTAAACTTCCTTTCAGTAGATGAATAAGTGTATCCAGATCAGAAGTTGGATGAACTAATTTTCTATGTTCAAATGGATTATAAAGAGCAGCTTCTTCATCATTGGGCTTTTCCACAAGCGGTAAAGTTGATCCATTTGATATAACAATAGGAACATCATTTTTCTCGCATTTGTATCTGTAATTTTAGTGTAATTAGTATTGAAATCAAATATTCATCGTTACATATATACATGATATATATAAATATATATGTATATAATATACATAATAAAATGTACTATTGACGTACGTACGTGTAACTGTTCTCTATATGTATTATTGATAATATATTACGTAACTTTTAAAGCTGTATTGAATCATGAATAAATTGATATAATGTTATTGTACTAAGTTTCACGTGATTATGAAAAATAATTTAAATGACAGTATTTTGATAGAAAAAATAATTCATATGTTAATAATGTGTGTTTATGCAATAATGTAATTAAGCAAAAGCATTAAACATGACATTCATTATTTAAATGAAAACTAAATATTAATTATTAAAAGGAAATAACAAATAGTAAATGTTTGAAAAATATTTTGGTGAAAAAGAAAATAACCAACACCATATATTGGTTACTACATCAATTGTGTCATATCGATATGAAAAGAAACTAGTAATAACAAAAAAAATTACATAGCCCTAAAAGTCCCTTTGTTTAATTAATGGTTGATCATGCCGAAATGTTCATTTAACTATCACAAAGTGTTGAACTTGAATTAAGATTGATATATATATATATATAAGATATAATAAAAAAAAAGCAAGTACAGTATAAAAATTTGAACGTATTATTCAAATATATAATATATAATATATGTATATTTATAATTCATAATAAATCATAAAGGTAAAGGTAGAGGTAGTGTAGGTACCGGTTAAGATGCGGAAGTCTCTCTCTTTCTTTCGCTCTTTCTCCTTAGCTGTCTTGTAAGCTCTCATCTTTTCTGATGAGATAAGAACTCTTTCATTTTTGAAATATTCTCACCCTAGAGCGCGCTCGTCGTGTCACGTGACACTATGACACAACTCGGGTTCGCACGTGATTTGTGTGCGAGATACACGCGTTGCACACATTTCTGGCTTAGTTCTGGCTCTGCTGCAACCACCGCACTGCATCACCGACGCCCAGCGCCACGACGCAGTACGACGACTAACAAGCCATGTTTACTTTAACATTCCACTTCACAACAAAAAAGGATAATACACGTTAACGAAATTATTGCAATCAATAATTTTGTAAATTTTGTTATTTCTGTCAAATAAGTTATCTCATGATTATTTTATCTATGCATGTTCTTTCAAATGTCAGTCCGTTCATTTGTATTTTTTTTCCATTTTATGCTGTTACTACAATTCTATAATACTCAAGTATTTTTGAATTTTCATCAAGAATCATATATGTAAATTGAATAAATAATTTTCTTTTAATTATTTAATATATACCATTTAATTGAGACAGTGAAAAAAATTTCATCTTTGAGTCATTTTGCCATTGACATAGCACGAATCTGTGAGATTTTATCAAGGTTATACTTAAAAAATGACAAATTATTTTTTGCTACAAATTTATTAAATTAGTATTTATATTTTTATCGATAATTTACAAGACTCAATAATTCATATTGAATCATTCAAGGAAATAGTTAACATCACATCTTCAGATTGTTTTTAAAAAGTTATTTACGTCTAGGAAATTATTAAAATTGATTGTAAACTTTATCATTGTCTCTTTTTACTTCACTTCAGTGAGACATGATCAATATGAAATGAATTAAAAATATATACATTTTAGAATGTTAGATATTATTGTTTATTTGTTACTATATCAATCGCAAAATGCATCGATTATTTTCTCGAATTACATGATTACTTCTCCATGAAAAATAGATTTCAAAATAGGTATATAGTTTAAATACTCAAATTATTGATGATTAATAAAGAAAGAGGTACATTAAGTGAGTTTTTTTATTAATTTAATTATATTTATAAAACATATTGGAACAATATTTAGTAATTATGGTATTTTATTTCAGATTCTATCAGCAATGAAGTTTAATACAATTGGTATAGGTTTTTTCGAATATCAAGTCAAATTCATTTGTAAGTGACATATGATTATTTACTGGATTTTAGGGTTCAAAGATTTATTAGAGTAATTTAAATTCAGTATAAATTAATTTCAGTTAATAGAAACTAAAAAAATATTTTTAAAAATATTCGATCATTAGATGAAAACCAGGATTTAAATTTAATTTTGATTTTAAAGGATGAGAAATGTTTGAAAAAATAAATAAAAAAAAACAAAAAATTTCAGAAATGAGATGATAAAGAGTTATTGAGGTAGAACAAATTTGTCGAGTATATCAGACAAATTAAGTTAATTTTGAATTAAATGACTCAATTAAAAAAAAAATCTCAAATTAACATTTTAAATTTAACCATAAAAGTTTTTGTTAAAAATTTGTACAATTATTAATTATTGAGTTTACACTATTACTTTTTTGATTGCACATAAAATAATAAAATATTGAATTTTATCTTTTTCATTTCTTGATTTTAGGATTCAATTCTGTATAAAATGCAGAATAATTTTGGCAATATAAATTTACTTAGAAATGAATTTTTTTTAAACGAGTAGTTAACCAATGAGTTATGTTTTAATTGCCACAATTAAATGTACAGAGTAGATAACATGTATAATATAGATAAATATATATACCTTTAATGTTCAATTTTATAGTTTCAAGCTTAACTTATTTATTTTTGAAGATAATAATTTAATTATAAAAAAATATTTTAAAAAGATTGACAAAATAAATATGACTACTATTCTTCATAAATTTAACAAATATTCCAAATAATATTAATAACTTACTTTACTATAAAAAAAATTTAAATATGTTTTTAAAGATTACAATATAAGATGAAAAGAATATTGTAGAAATTTCAACCTCAATTCATAGTATAAGAATAAGAAATAATGAATAACTTTGAAAATATTTGAATATGCTGATAACAAAGCTTTATAAATTGCAATAGGAGAAAAATAAGTTATTAAATAAGTGCAAAAATTTTTTCATGACGTGATACACATGTTGAATATTTTCAAACTGATTTCCTGGTAATCATTTAGTGAAATAAATTCAGTGAATAAGATACAAATGTAAACATTTTGATTATGGAAATATCTTCAATTATAAGACAAGAGGAATATTTAACTTGAAAAAAACTCACTATAATGTACCATGATATTAATAATTAATAAATAAATAATAAAATTGAATAATTGTTATGGAGATATTTTATGTAATATTAATATATACACGTATAATTTATATGATTCTTTATTGAATTCTATCTACATGAAGTACTTATTAATTATTTTGCTTTAAAAAAGTAAAAAACGTAATGATCAGTCATAAAAGTCGTAGTGCAAAACAAAGTCTTTCTGTCGAATCATAAAATTTGAGAGCTTCAATAAAGATTCTGCATAGCTTTTAATGAATAACAATTAGTTGATACTTACTTCATTAAAACCATGTCTGATAATTCCGTTCTAACATCACATTTTTTCGGATCATACTCGGTTATCATTGGACGCATTGGCGTCCGCTGCAAAAATAAATAATTATTAGTAAATTCTTCTAATTAAAATAATTATTTTTATACTTCATTTAGAATTATCTATAGAGAATATATGTAAATCTCCTTTTTTTAAATACTATCAGTATCCTATCGCATCAAAGGAATCATTAGTAGCTAAAGGGGAAAGTCTACAATTTTTCCATTGGCTTCAAAGATAACACTGAATAAGTAGAAAAAATTTAGCTTTATCTATTGGGGTTTCATAAAATTAATAACATTCTTTCACAAGAGATGACGTAACTTCGGTGAAAAATATAGGCAATGTGAATTGCATAGTAAACTATTGAACAGGAAAAATTGTTCCATATTTGAAATTTTTAAAAAATCTTATTGATTGTTATAAATAAAATAACTCAGGAAATTATGAAAGAAACGACCTTACTTTTTAAACGACCTATGAATTTTATAATTCTTTCTAAATATACATTGTTTTCTCAACCATAAAAAAGCAACTTTATGTTCGAGATGATGTTTTAAAATTTCTCTGTATATATCTGATGTCATAATGAGCTAATAGTCCAACTTGCATGCGATCTTATTTGGAGTTAAAACATATAATTGATACATCCATTTATTTTGGATAACCTATTGACAAAATTGGAGAAAAATTATATTGGGTTGTTAAGAAAGTAGAAAAACATGTAAAGCAATTTTTAATTTAATAGTCTATAAACTTCAATGTACAATAAAGTTATTAAGTGTATCAATAACTTATGTCCACTTTGAGAGCGGAAATATTGTGGTACCATTTTAATGCTATACGTGTTAAAATATTTAATTATAAAAGTGTTTCACTATTTTCTTGACAACCCAATGTGTATCTATATTTATTGTTTTTCTTCAATTCCAATTTAAAGTTTGACTTTTAATTGTTCCTGCTAGGAACAACGTGATATCTAATATATCAACAAATTTTGCAATTAAAAAAAAAAAACTATTTCTCAAATAAATCATAAGTAACAATGAGATATTGTTCATAATAAAAAGATGTTATAAAACATTGACTGTTAGATTATCACAAGAAAAAATAATTGCTAATGATAATAAATGCAGCTAATTACATTATAATATTGTCGACATTTTCGTAATCTATAATGTTTTGAAATGGTCCATATAAATAACAAATTAAATCTATTTTATCTCATTCATGAAACCCGTTAAGATACGCCTTATGGAAAAAAATTGAAATGATTGAGTACATGATTACATGTTATCATCGTGTTAAAAAGTATCACCTTTGGTTTGATAGTTGATATCTTTTAGTCAAAGAAGCTATCCAGACTTACATATGGGATTACATATTATAAGTTGCGTACAATTGTTTTCAAAAACTTTACACCAATTTTTTTTGCATCTCATTTAATTGGAATGAATTTGTTAATAGTATTTAAATCAGACCCAATATTTTAAACTTTTATAATGTGGATCATCATTATCCAATTATCACCCCAAATTAAAGAATGACTCGAGATGACCTTAAAACTTATCTGATAAGAAAAATGAATCTTGAAAAAAATTATCTTTTTATTTCGAGCATAAAGTAACCAAACTAACATAAAAACAATTCAATTTGTCAACATGAGAACACATTAATTAAATGTAATATACATGAGATGGATGGTGGAAAAAATTTGTTAAATCTAATTAGATCGGTATTTTTAGACTTCATACTTGATAACACCAAATGAGATTTGATCCAACTGAGTTAGATTTAATGAGATTAAATTAGGTCTAATCAGATTCAAGTCTCACAATCAAGATGATACTAGATTTCTTATTTTAACGTCAAAATTTTCAGATCTGATTATGACAAGATTTAAGTTTTTTTTATTGATGATGGTAAAAAAAATAATTTTTTAATAACTTTTTTCTTTGTTAAAAATCAACTTAAATCTAGATTGTAAGTTCACATAATCTCCATGATGTATAGTCAATTAGGCTTTGGAGGTCATATGAAGAACTTCCCAATTTAAATAGTTGATGAATATGCTCTTGAATGGTAAAAAAATTTTAAACTCAATTAATTTTATTTTGAAAAATTTTTCGGTTTCATCTAATATTTACTTTAAAATATTCGATTAAGAATAAAATCAAAACTATGAATATGTGTAATCTAAAGTATTTCTCCACTTTTAGGTGTATTTTAGGAACGAGAAAGATTTCTTTAATCTTAATGCGTACAGATTTTACTTGTTTGTGATGATATAAAAGACTTGTCACTTTTTTTAAATTAGATCAATCAGATAACATTTTGAGAACAGTTTTTTAAGACATAATTACTCTAAACTAGTAACATAGATATTTTAACTTCAGCTGACTCTTAAAAAAACTTTTAAAAGTAAATAAAAAATTAACAGTATATCTATTATACTACTCTTCATTTAATATTATTCCAGGTTTTAAATTTAATCATGAACAAAATACATAGAAAAATAATAAGAGCTAATTAAATTTATTCATCAATAAATATATACGATAATAATTTATAAACCCCAACAAACCAAGTCAATTTAAAAAAATTTATGTTTGGTTAAATATAATTTTTTTTTTTTCAATTTCCAGCCTTTTTTAGCGCTGAACCCTTAAGACCATTGTGCTGGGTCTGTTTTGCACAGTAAAGGCGGTCATCTTGTATCTTAGGTCTACTGGTTTTCAAGTTTCCAAGTAACCTTGGTTCTCTTTGGCCCTGAATAGTTCGTCATTTTGTGCACGCGTTCTCTTCTATACGCCCCAGCATCTTTATCTGATGATAGGTGAGCCAGTGTCTCGTTATGGTGCTAAATGGCTATTCATAGCTGTTCTTTCACTCAACTAGTGGCCCCGATGTAAACCTTAGAGATAATCCCGATTAAGTTGGAAGTTGCCTTGCCGTCAGAGATTCCCCGAGTTACCCCAGGGGTCCCTGGCTTCCTCAGCATCAGCTACCCAGTAGCCAAATCAACGTAAGACTGACGGCAGACTTACATATGTAACTTTAGTTTGTCTTTTACGGATGTATCTACTGTTTTTTTGAAGCAAACAGATGTAAGATTTTCGTCAGAAAATTTAATGTCAAAAATTTATGGCAATCTGACGTAGAAAGGAAGCAGACGGACGTAAGACTGACGAAAATTCTGACAACGAAGAAGTAAATAAATTAAGGGTCCAATTGGGCAGAGCTTCTTGCACAGGTAAGGCTATTTTATGTACAATGGGAGGTCGTCTGGTTTCCTAAAGGTATCAAGCGGCAATAGTACCTTATGTACTATTCAGTCATCAGCACAATAGCTTGTACCTACTGTGGCTTGTTCCCCGAAAATTGTGATTTTGATTGAACATAATAAAAGAAATATTGCCAATTTTGGTAATGTTATTAAATTTTGTTTAACATAAAACCTAAACTCAATGAGTAACCCTAATATGTCAATTTCATAGTAAATAAAGAGTAATTTGAAAATACTCATCATGAAAATTAATTATTTCTATGTTATGATCTAAAAATTTACATTTTGATATATTTCTTGGTGAAAATTTTGAGAGAGAAGGTTCATTGCTAATTTCTTTCGCGAAAATTGTATTGATCTAAACAGCAGCAAATTGAAAATAAGGGACAGCTGACATAATCCTAGCTGAAAAAATTGCCTATAGCCCCCCATAAAAATTTTCCCCTATAAAAACTCATGCAAATCGCACAGTATTTATATTTTAAATCAACCATAACCCTTATTTTGAATCATATGTCTATGACGCAGTTTATTTTCAAACCTTTAGCAGTTATGAACTAACATTCTATATGATTAATGGTCTTTAAAACAGTCATCATTTTCTTTAATGAAAGTATATACAGTGATAGAAATTGTGTATTATTTATAAAGATGGATGTCTTAATTTATCATCAAAAATTAGCACTGATTCAGAAATAGAACTTTCTACATATTTCTTTCACACTAAATTTAGTTCACAATGGAGAATTTCAAATTTTTTAATTTATCTTATATTGGTATATAAATGATAATAATAATAAGAATACTATTTTTGCACTAAAAAAAATTAATGTGCCAACTAGATTTATTAAAAAAAACTTCCAAATCAGTGATGATTCTTAATGATTGCCAAAAATAATGAATAAAGTTATAGAATATATCCAAATTCTATTAACTTGCTCTGAGTATTTTGTTGCAGATGATAAAGAGCTCATTTCGATGTCTATGTCGTCGTTAATATGAAACATTTTAGCCATAAAAAGTTATTTCTTCCAATATAAAATATTAATACACCTAATCACATACGTTTAAATATTAATAATCATAACAATGTCGTTGTCTGTGCTCTATAACATTCACATAAATATCCATTTTCATTTCACAAAAACAATTCTCACTAAATAATATGTCAAAGATGGAACACTTTCGCATCAGGTTTGTTATAATAGCAAGAAAAAACTGATAATACTGAATATTCAGAAACAAACGACCAATGAATCGTTGCCAAAATTGTTAAGAATATTCCAAGGTCAACTGTTCTTAATATATTCTATAATAATTTAAGATATCATCAATATGTAATAAATTAAAAATAGAAAGAAGCGCCAATGATAAATATAATTTTAATAATAAACAGTATAATTTCTATGTATATATATAATAATTACTGAATACATCAAGAAAAATAATATTTTTGTTTAACTCGTTGAAACCAGTTCAGACAACCAAGACTATCAAGACTAAACATTATTGGATTAGCTGCGTGGTTTTTATATTAAGCATCTATTGAAAAATATACGATGAAACATTTATTCTCTATTTATGTGAATACTTTGGCATATTGGATGTTATTAACTCTATTTTAGTTAAAATATTAAAACTATCATCATTATTATTATTAAACTCAATAACATTGTAGGCTGAACAAAAGAATGCAAAGAATAGTTGGCTTCAAGAAACTATCTTCGTTGTATTCACATTTCTGATTTTAGTTTAAAGATAACT